GGTACCGACCGAACACGTTGGCCAGCGATTACCAGCACGTCACCCAGTCATGAGCGTGTCATATAACAAGGTATTACCATATACACAAAGCAGTACAAATTGCACAGCCCGGTGGCTGCCCATTCGCCCCACCACACCTACTTTTCTCTCGGCAACCATGAGTGGACCTTAATTCCGAACCAACATTCCTGAGGACACTGTTTACAAAGCGTTACTACAACTTCCCTGACTTATTTCCTCTTTAAGCCCCTCCCCTCATAGGTAGTTCTCTGATTTTCCATACATCACCTCCTCTTGTAAATTGTTAGGAACGCTCTGGTGGGTTCAAAAGTTGGAGGCGCAGAGTTTTAATCGCCTGCTATTTGGTTTGTTCTAGTTGTTTGGTGTAGGTACGCACTTTTAAATCATTAGAACAAATCCGGATGTAAGTGGAAGAAGAAGTTGTTGTTTAGCAGTTGACAGAGGAAGTTCTAGTCTGTTCCAAGCATTTGCCGTTTACTTCGCTCTCCGGGCTTGTTTGAAACTGAGCTACGAATTTTTCGGAAATTTTGAAGCGAATGACGCCCATTTAGAGTACGAAACACCTCACGTGAGTGTTTCTCTCATTTCATGCGCATATGTATTTGCCTCCGTTTGCCACTTTTCTCGCTCTGCGAGCTCTTCTGGAACCAATCACGGTTTTTTTGAAAAAAAGCAGCTACTGGCTGTGCACAGCCCCGCCCACATAGGCGGGGCTTAGTTCAGCTCCCGTGTGTTCCGTACTTCATGGCCCATGCCCTCCCAACCCACCCTTAAGCCGGCCCCTTAGACTGGCTGTTATGTGATGTCCAATTTTCGGACAGACAGATAGACAGGCAGGCAGACGTTGCATTTTCTGTAGGATAATATAAATAATGCAAAACAAGCTGCGACAATGCACACTACCTGGACCTAGACCATTTTACAGTAATATGCTACATTACGCCAATAGCGCATTGGACAAGTGTGTAGAATGCGTGGGGTATCCCAAGAAGTTATTCAGCAGCCCTGAAATCTATCGTTTTCCATTCAATACGATTTTGTGTAGCTCCTATGGTCCTATCACGGCTCCAGCTCCAGCCCGAGGGCCAAAGAACTGGCCCAATGAGATCACAAATTTTAGGAGGCGCGAAGAACGTTTAGGTTGTTCACAGTCTGCGGCCCAGCGTTTCTTTAGAAAGAAACGCTTCGGCGAAAAGCTTTCGATACGTATCGACTGGCGGTTGCGCGAAACGGTTTTGATACGTATCGACGGGCGGTTCGGCGAAGCGGTTGGGCGAAAAACGCTAGCCCGACCACCCTGGCGTTTTTCTCTAGGGCGGAGCCTACGAAATCGATACGCATCTATTGCTTTTCGCCAACCGCTGAACCGCGGCGGTTCGTCGAACGGGGCGGTTGGCGATTCTCCGATCAATGAGTATTTTTTGCTTTTCGCCGAACCGCCGTTTCGTAAGGGATCTCAGACTGTGAACAATGCCTTCCAACCCTGAGCATCGTTTCCTAATATTTTATTACCCGTTTTATCGACCAAGGGAAGTTTGACCCTGTTGGAATCAATGGGAAATCGACCAATTTGTTTTATTTCTCATGCTTGTATGAAGCATTACGCTACTACCCCGACGTTCCGTCCAGGTTTGTATCACCGAAATTCAAACACGTGGACCTATTTCGGACCTTCCCTTATCATGTTATGTTGTAGCTGCCGTATGAAAACGCCCTTCTCTTATTTCTTTCACACAATGGAGTATTTTTCAAAATTTCAGCATTAAAACTTGTTAGTAGTCTGAAATGTGGCGGTTCCACCTGTTTTTACGAGCATCGTAGTCGCGAGTATCACTTCTCCTTTTAACTGAATTGGAAAAACTTTTTTGTCGGTTGTGTTACAAAATAGTTCCAAAATTACAGATTTTAGGCTGAATTGTTTATATTAACACTATTATGAAAAATAATAGCATGGTTCATAGCATATTCCGCTCCGGTTGTTTAGAGATGTGGAAAAGGGAAGGAACGCACCAATGAGGAGGACGCAGAGCTAGGTGACTCCACCCATGCGATCAGCATGGAATGGGGCTGTAAGTTTTCAGCTTAACTTCCAGAGTAAATATAACTATTGAAGGGAATTACATCCTCAACTCAGCAGACCCTTTCGCTCGGAATGGGTATTTTTTTTGTCAATGTAAAAAGGAAAGAAGAATCAGCCTTTGACAATGGTCAATCCCGTTTCGGAATGCGTCTCATATACTGTTTCTATTGAGAGTCATAGTTGCAGTTAAATTCGATCTGAAGTATACAATGACACGCAGGGGTCATCCGTTGCAAAAGATAGCACCTTTGTCCTCCCACACTAGTCATGTACCAGGACCGTAGGCTTGGTTGGACTGGGCGAGGACCGTGCGAAGTTTTGCCGTGGAACCGTGTATGAGGTAAGGGGCGTCACTTGCTCTTACTCACCCTCCGTATTTGTAAAAATATACTGTTGGGTCACTTGAAGGCATAAGGCAAAATAACTTGGTACTTACTCGAAAATACTGGCAGGAATATTACATAATGGGACAGTGACGAAAAAGCGAAGTTAAATGGTCAAGACCTGCGAAAAACCTCTGTTCTGCACGGCATTGGACGAGCATTTTTGGACGAGTTTCCCGTTGGCATCGTGCCAAGCAACCGCTTTGATAGATACGGCTGCACGTATGTATTCATATATCCATGTAGCAACGCTTCATATCAATTGTACTTCATAAATGAAGCGATAAGAGTACCAGCGTCGATGTGACTGTGCGGCCATTTGTGGGCGGGCGGTTGCGATGGGCGCATAAGTCGACAGTGCACCTTGGTTAGGCTCTAAAAAGTGCGCTTGGTTGGAAAGGGCTGAAGTACATAGTTTTTTCCTCCCACACTAGCCATGTGTCAATTAACCGACCACAGGAGCGCCGGATTGTATCCTGCTAGGCGTATTAATCCTACACTTCTTAGGCAGGCATTTATTGTGCCGCTTGCCTTCAAAGTGATCACATTAAAGGATTCTCCTTCTCGTTCACTGGTTTAAAAATTTTTACGACCACCGTATCCAACATATCTACCACTAGATCAAAAAGGTGACAGAATGAAGGCAAGGGTGGTATTAATCGGGCAAGTAGGCTAAAGGGTAGTGGCTTTCCAGAGACTTCCTGAGCAAAACTGGGATGATCGTAGTGTGAAATCTCTTTTTTCACAAGTTAATTCATTCACCCTTCCTAGACTGATATAAAACAGCAGCAATCTTAATTTCGTCCTTTGTCACAACAAGTCCTTGGATGTCCCCCCCCACCTAACCAGGGAAGTCCGCCAACTTACCATGGAACTTTGAATGGAGACCTGGGTAGATCGATAGAGTCTATAAGGTTATTTACAAATATAGATAGCAAAACTGCAACCTGCATTTCACAAGCAACTTATGAGCAGGTATTGTAATGGTGCAGTAGGGTGGAGGCTTGGTGGTGAGCTGTGAAGCATAAGCGAGGAATCGCATACGTCGAATCGAGCCAAAGCTGTGCTAAGAAACGGTCACGATCGGTGATATATGCACTACCCCTCGCGAATGAAAGCTTTTCCACTCTACTGCACCAT